TTTTCCCGTTTACTTGACTGTGGGTTACATTCACAGTTTATGCACTTTTAAAATATACTTATCTAAAAACACTGGGACTGTGCATAACTGCACCTTGTGTGTTAGAACAGAAAGTCATTGATGCTCAGGCTCATATTGCCAGCGCCAGTCCCAGAGTTTATTGCCTTGTTTTTCCGCTAGGACTGAATCAGTACACAAGCGACATTACTGTGATGCAGGGGTCAGTCTGGGCTGGTAACTCTGAATGAGACCCCATGCTGGCCACAGGGTAACCTGGTATTTATGACTTCACATTCCCTCACTTTCAGAGGAGATGGGAAATGTCCTCATGCTGGCCAGACCTCATTACCCAACTCAGGTCTCCACGGAACATGCAGTGTTAGTGAAAAAAAACAACTGGATACTACTGTTTTCTCCAAACAGGGCCATCAGTACTTTGTAGGAGGACATATTCAAGATAAAAGGCTCATGGCCAGCTGAAGAATGCTGCTGAAGACTGTCTCTTCCTGCCAGCACAACTCCTCAAAGATGGAGAGGTCAAGCTGTCCCCTTCCTGTCGCAGGGCTCGGAGTTCAACCTCAGCCTCTCTGAAGCATCCTTTTATCAGCTGCATATGCTACCAGAGCTGATGTTCACTGTGGACCACAACAGTAACCTTCCACGGGCAGGGAAGGTCCACTCACTGAAAGTCAAGCAAAGCCATGACCAAGCCCAGTCTAGACAATATCATCTTGATGTCAACCCAGGACCACTTGGCAATGGGTGAAGCATATTTAAGAAAGGTTAGGTATATCAAAGCCTTAAGGTTCAGGAGCTAATGAAGACAGACATTGCTTTATTAATCACCTGACGCTGCATGAGAGTTGTGAAAACAAAGGCATCCCTTTGGTGGAACTCGGAATGCTCTCATTCAGACTGTAGAAATAGTTCTTGTCCTTTTCATTTCCCACTGACAATTCAGAAATCATGCTGCATGAAGAACTATGCAGCAGTTACACACCCAGGGAGGGAGTGGGAAAACATGTAGAATGCATGCCAGGAGAGACATCAATGATACTGGAAACATCTTTTAAAAACATACTCTCATGGATCTCCACAGTTTTCATCAGACAATGAGACAGACAGAAAGGTTAAGGTTATCAGTATTGTATTTTATTTCCCTTGGTTGCCTGTCTACAGTATACTGAAACTTGGTGCATTACCACAGTTGCTGTTGGTATCTAACTGTGAAAGAAAAGCTACTAAAGTACAAAAAAAAAACACCAAACAAAAAACAAAGTCTCTTGGTCCCTCCTGCAATTCATAACTATGGCAGAAAGAAGGAGCAGAAAAAAAAAAAAGCTGTTACTGAGCAGTTCCACTCTTCCAGATGTTTATACTAAACTTCCAGATGTATTCCGTGCATTTATTGCTTCATTATAGAAAGGCAAGGGACTATCTTCAAACACAGTAAGACTCCTTTAAATCAAAATAGTTCAGACAAAAGGAACCTCCACTTTTTTTTTTATCTGTGCTCACATTAGTTTCCACATTTTGCAGATTAAATTGCGTCCCTACAAGCAAAGCAGATAATCTTACAGTCAGTGAAGGCCCAAAGTGTATTCTCAATTTCCAGGAGCTTAAGGGGTGAGCAGCAGGGAATTCATTCTTTGCTCTGCCTCTGTCAGGGTGTAGCTGTGCTGCCCAGCCCAACAAGCAGCCTGCTTTTGGCCAAACACCACTGAGAACTAAGGCTAACTGCAGCGCTGACTACGGAAGAGTTGTTGCTATTATTACCTAAAATGTAGTTATAAAACTTCAGTACCATTATCCCACTGACAGCAGTCTCCCACCCTGTCTCATGGAGAGCTACTGACTAATTACTGAGAAAGGATGGGCAAAACCACTTCACAGTTTTAAACTTTCTGCAGGGGGACCACACACCAGTTTCAGGTTCGTGTTTTTTTTTTTTTTTTTAACCTTAATTATCTCTTTTGTACCATAATGGTGCCAAGAGAAAGCCTCTCAGACAAAAACTACCATCTAAATACAGAAGACTGTACGATCCTCTTATGGAAGAATAAGGAAGAGTTATTTATATTATGAAAACAGGAGCTGTAAGCAAGACAGGAGACCATGCAGTCTGATCAGCACTTGTGATCTCTGCTGATACTTACCCACAAAAATAGTTTTATAAAAACATCTGAAAACACTTCACCTTTCATGTCTTCTTTCAGGTCACGGAAAGCTAAGGCAGAGCTCTTTTTTTGGCCTGGAGCTCTGAGATTCATTGATGGTGTCTTCTACCATCAATGAATCAAACCATTAGAGTTGTCCTTAAAAGTAAAACACAGAAATGGGGAGGACAGAAGGGATGACACCAGCTTTCGGCTATTGCATCCACTGGGTTTCTGCTTGTTCATTTGATGGCTTGTTTAAACATAACACATGGTAGTGGTGAAATGCAAAGTGTCACTGAGCTGCAAGCTAAGCCAGATCCTGCTTTATGGCTGTGTGTGGTGTACAGATCAGCCTGCCTTGGCCCCAGCATGCAGGAAAAGGCATGCTCTGGAGAGAGGTCTTTATGTTCCTTCCTACGTTCATAAGATTTCAAAAGCTGCCTTGTTAGATGAAAAAAAAAAAGGGCTTAACTATGAAATCACTTCCTTCTGTTTAAAATATTTCAAATCAAGAGCAAAAAAAAAACCAAAAAAACAACAGAAAGCAAAAACAAAAAAGCAAAAACAAAAGGAAGGAGGGAAGGAGGGAAGGAGGGAAGGAGGGAAGGAGGGAAGGAAGGAAGCAAAAGTAAAAGGGGGAAAAAAATCTGTTCTCTGCCTCTGATGTGTTCCTAGGTCTCAGCACCCTGGGTGCCAGATCCTGACTGCTCCTGATGCACAACTGTCCTCTTGTGCATAGCCAGGGACATGGAGCTCGGTGCAAGAGCTCTAACAAAGATCCTAAAGCAAGGATGTGTGTGCTTCCACCTACTAGCACCCACAGGTGTACCCAGATCCCAGCCCTCCTCGGCTCCCAGGGTTCCACAGTATGAATCACTCCACCTCCTTCCCCACTCAGCAGTGAGCTGAGCTGCACACACACCAAAACACTGCCTTTCCTCTCTCTGCCTTCAGAAAAAGTTGGTGTCTGCCTTCAGTGTGATGTATTAGCTTCCTCTGCATGATTAAGGAAGTCAGGGTGGTCTTTTCTTCTCTGTTACAGAGGCTCACTGATGCAGGAAAAAGCAGAGGTCATGAGATAAACATTCAGCACGCTGCTACAGGCAGTCCTGGAGATCCACTCACCTTCACTGCCTTTGCCAAAGCAGAAACAAACTCTGCCCCTACAGCATTGCCTTTGGAAGGAGGTAATCAGGAAATACCACATTAGGGAATTCAAACTGTTGCTTGAGAAAACTGTAAACCAGATTTGCAAGCAGACTTCAAGCAGCACAAGAGCACCAATGCATCAGGGGTTGCTGCAGGTTTCCTCTGAGAGCAGGCTTTACCTAGCCAGAGCTTCCAACTGCTCAGAGCCAGAAAGCAAACTTCCACTGCAAGTGATTATTTGGAGATGTTGGACAGCATTCGTGTGCTGGTGGCAACTAATGAGCTTTTCTCATGGCTCAGCTGGTCATCTGCTAAATGCCCTGATATACAAACATTCAACCTCTGCAGTCTCTGAGGTTGCCTCCATCTTCATCTTGCAGCTGTTCCTGAGGCCTGAGAGCAAGGTGAAGGCATGGTTTTACTTGTTAGCTCTGTGACTGAACTCGTCCAAGTTTAGGTCCCTGGAGATTTGGGGACAGCTGCACTTATGGATAACTAGGCCAAGTTTACAACACAACAGGGGACTAGCATTGCAAGGGACCCATCCGCCCTGTTGAAGGACCTCATGCAAAGGACCTCCCCTCATAGCTGGGGACAGATAATTAGCACCATCCCTACCTGACTGCAGCTCACCATCATTAGCTGCAACAAGGAACTGAAGGAACTGCAAGGATAATCACCAGGGAGTGGTACCACCCAGACAGTGCTTTTGCATAAGAAAGCAGAAAGCACAAGATCTAAACCAAATATACTTGTCCAAGAAGACAAAAAACCTTTTAACTGCACTGCGATATTTGCTTGATATTTCCCCTTTTCCAAGCCCTGAACCTTAGGGACCTCCAGAGAACTACACCAATACCTCATGTGGTATCTTTCCCTATAAATAAAGAGGCAGGTACTTTAGATGTGCCAAACCATACAGCAGAGACCTGAGCATACTGTACATAAAGACTTGTTTAACATGTGAAGTCACAGGATCACAGATCACAGAATTGTAGGGGTTGGAAGGGACTTCAAGAGATCACTGAGTCCAGCCCCCCTGCTAAAGCAGGTACCCTACAATAGGTCACTCAGGTAGGTCCAGGCAGGTCTTGGATATCTCCATAGAAGGAGACTGCACAAGCTCACTGGGCAATGTGTTTCAGTGCTCCATCGTCCTTACCGTAAAGAAGTTCTTCCACATGTTAGTATGGAACTTCCTCTGTTCAGGTTACAGGCCATTACTCCTTGTTGAGCATCCTTTCAACACAAGCCTCTAGCTTCTTTTATTTCAGACACAAAATATTACTTGAATACACACATCACTTTTAGCACAAGGAAAGAACCTGTATTTCAGTGCATGATGGACTCACTTCATTTGTTATTTTCTCATGCCAATAGGTGAACAGTGCTGGGGACAAGCTGCTAGAAAAGGTTTTAAACTTGCATTGCTCCAAAAATCCCTTCCTTATCAAGATCTTGCTATTTTCATCTGTTTCATGTTACATAGCTGGATGATTACATCTGTGATATCCTTTTTCATAAAAGCTTGATAATACCCACACAGTAACGAATGCTGGGGCTTCTTATTGCCCCTACTTCTTCTACCATCTTCCAAATGATGCTGACCTCCCAGAAGCTGGACATGCATTACTGCAATCACCTGGTAAGAAATAGAGCGGGGAAGGTAGAGGGGACAAAGTAAAAACTTACCAAGCACAATGACCACAGTCTTCAGGAGGCTCATCATGGTGTCCCGATTCCTGCGAGGTCCAGAACTGTGTCTGGACATTCTCATAGTCCTTTGGCGGACATACCCAAAGATATGAGCGTATAAGACCACCATGACCACAAAAGTGACCAGGTTGAAAATAGCCCAGAAGACCAGGTAGGAGTCACTATAGAGCGGTGCCATGTTGGAGCAGTGAGTGATATCACAAATACAGTTCCATCCGACACTTGGTATGGCACCCATTACGATGGCCATAGTCCAGATAACAACAATTACCACCACCACTCGCCGGTTGCTCATCCGAGTATGCAGCTGCATGCGAAAGACTGTAATGTGCCGCTCGATGGCGATGGCCAGCAGATTGGCCACAGAGGCTGTCAGGCTAGTGTCAATGAGACCCTGACGGAGAAGCCAGGTGCTTACAGTCAGTCTTCTAGTATTAGGTCCCGTGTTGAACATTAAGTAAAAGTAGGCCAGCCCTGCAAAAAAGTCTGCGGCGGCTAAGTTGGCCATTAAGTAATAAATAGGAAAGTGGAATCGGCGGTTGACATAAATAGCCACCATAACCAAGAGGTTGGCTAGCATGATGAAGATGCAGACGGTAATCCCCAAGCCCATTACGAGCTTGCTGACAGTGTTCCATTCAGTGGCTAGATATTTTCCACTCCGGTTATAAAAGAAGGCAATGGTTTCATTGTAGTAGCACTGTGGTTCACTCATGGCTGTGGACTGAAAGAAGAGGGGGGGCGGGGAAAGAGAGAAAAAGAACGACATCAGAACTGAAAACATATAATTGCCTCCATGGACAAGGCATGCACAGAGAGCAGGGAAAGGCACTGGACAGAGAAAGGGAACACACTTCAGAACAAATTTACTTTTTCAGAACAAACAGCATTCCACAAATCACAAACTATTGCTCTGAGGATTTCAGTAACTACAGCCAGATTAGAAGCAACCAGAAATACTTCCATCTGCTCTGGGAATGAGCATGATTTCTGTCATAGCTGTAAATTACATAATAAACATTAGAGCTTCTGTCCAGGCAGACCTCCTGAAAAACTCACTTAGAGAGACAGGCATGCAATTCATAATCAAAAGAAGTTAACTCTGTTACAGAACACTTTGCTTATGTTATGAGTGCATAAAAGCATTGTTTGGCTGTAGCTGTGATACATGACACGTTCCTCAAAGAGGAAGAAAAGTTGCTGCACTTCCCCGGAGGTTTTAATTCACCCAGATCTTCATCAGGGACATTTCTTGTTGTTCTGTTATAATCAGTTACTCAAAGTGCAGTTCCCAAAAGCCAAATCTCACAAAAAGAAACTCTTGAGACTAACATAGTGGTTCCTTGTTTAGGGTGCTTTATCAGAAAGGACTCAAGGATGAAATGATAATAAAAAGAAAACCAACAAGAAGTTCATGTCTCTGTCTGAAGACACTCAGGAGACCTGTTTCTGGTTTTATCGCTGTCAAAACTCTATTCACTGAAATTCATTTTTATTTTTCTCAATGCAGAAACAGAGGAGTTATAGCAAGAAAACAGGTAGTACACCCAAACAAATAACAGATCAACATCAAAATGTAAGAATTTTTTCCCATTACAACATGCAAACAAACAAACAAAACAGTTTTGGACTGCTCCAACCATTCTGATGGAAATGCTTCAACTAACATAACCTTCAGGTTGAAACTAAAAATGTACACAATTAGGAAAAAAAAAATAAATTAGTAATTGTGGTCCAGTTAAAGAAGTATCTGATAAAATATTTCCTCAGAATTACTCAAGGCTATTTCTCTTTGTTTTCATTTGCACCTATTTGTCAACACAACTAAGCAAATTCCAAAGAAGAAGTATACAAACCTTTCCACCCATAAGCCAAATGGGTAACAGCTAGATCTGTGCTGCAGAAAAAGTTTTTTTCTAAAAATGATTTCAGTTCTAACCTAAACATTGATCAGAAACATTTGCAAACCCAGGATAATTAAGAACAAGAGTAAACAGTATTTTCAGCACACTGACTATAAAACTTAAATTGCTCCTCTAGGATACATCAATTCTTAGGTTAAAAACCTTTCAGCCTTAATTATTTAAGAATTTTTCAAAGTTCTCATATAGGATTTCTCCACTGCCCAGAAAAACTGATTTACAAGGCATACTTAACAAAGAGAGACTTAGCTGCAAGACATCTGGCTTCAATTCTTTGCTTAAGGATTGTGTGGCAATAACAGGTCAAGTGTAAGAAGCCTTGAGGGAGGGAGGAAGTCATAGGAATGAATTAGTGGCCCTTATAAAAGCTTGCCAACATCTGCATTAATTATGTGGATGGCCTGGTTTTTGCCTTTTTGCCCTCTATAGGAGTATTTGGATCTTATAATTTCAATTGCAGAGGAGGTCAGGACTCCAAACTCTAGTGAATGTTTGTTATCCTGAATAAATTCTCTCCTTGTCCACGCTTTTATTGATCTAAATTCTTCTTGCAGCTGGCTGCTGCCCATTCTTGACGATTTTCGCTCCACTACTGCTGCTGCAGAGAGGCAGACAACACCTGGCACAACAAATAATTCAAATGCAGAAAAATTGAAACCTGGATACTCCTTTCCTTTCTCCCTTGTTTCAATTTTATTTTGCAAATGGGCTTAGACTTTGAAATACTGCCCTGATATTGTAGCACCCTCCCTGCTCTCCTCATATGAAACGCAAAACAAGACAGGGCTCACTTAACAAGCACCAAGTGCAGTGCATTTGTCTCATTCACAGAATGCCAAGCCAGGGCTGAACAAGTGCAACGCGTACAGGAGTATGTAAAATGCTACAGACTGAGCCCTGTTAGGTTTGAAAACAGGACAGTGCTTAAATAACCCTGGGGTAACAGCATGAGGCTGACTTTTTTCTTCTCTCATTTTGAAGATGCAGTAATAAAATCCTCTGCTGGTGTAAAGGATTCTGAAAGAAGTTTTGTGTTCAGGTTGTGCTAATCTAAAACCTGGAAACCTTCTTTATAGCAATCTTTTCAGTCCCAGGGGAAAGAGTAGTGTATCAGGATCTTGGCTGTGCAGGTGCTTGCTTCTGAGATTTGAACTGGGAGCTGATTTGTGTCCACCAGTGGAGTTTCCAGGTGCTGAAACAAATGGTCCCATTTGTGAGAGTGATTAAGGAACAAGTCGCTGACCGAAGTTCAGACAGGGGACTTCCAGACGATCAGCTTTCTCAGATGCCAGCAGATATCCTACAGGAAAGTTGTGACCTCACAGGTCAGCATATGGAGATCCCAAGGCATCCCATTCACGCATGAAGCTGCTGTCTGGAAGCTGCTGTCTGGAAGCAAAGGCTTGAGTAAAAGGAAAAATAATGTACCTCTGAGTACTGAAAGTGTTAACATCCTACAACAGCACATGCAAGCAGGGAGACCCAGCCCCTCTCCTGTCCCTGCAGGAAAAGGGGCAGGGAAGTTTATATTTTAATTTCCTGAAGTTTCACTCAGTGTGTTTCATTGCCTGGGTAAGCCAGATGTGCAGTGCCCTGAGATTTACCTCATCCACTTAGTATATCTCAACAGAAGTTTAAAACAAACTGCAAATTGCCTGTGTTAACTAAACACTGAAGACACAACTGTGCAAGGAAACATCTGAATTATAAACCAACAAGATAGATAAAGGAAAATGGAGTAACAGCAGGCTGAAATCAAAGACTTCTCTAACAATAAGAGGTTGATTTAATACTCAAGACACAGTTGTCCCACGTCAAAGAACAAGAAAATTCTGAGTACATGGGGTTAAGTCTCTTAAAAACACAAAACCCAGTCACAGCCACAATGCAGTGCACACGGACCAGAGAGCTCGGCACCAGTACTTAATAACTGTTACTCTACTTCTACAGATGACACCTATTCAACTCTTGGTGAGAATAATGCCCTGGCATTGGCACCTCCAGCCACCATCTGCTACATATGTCCCCTCAGCTGTGGTGCTACACAGCTACGTTACCAGGGTGGCTGGGAAGACAGAGAAGAAAAGTGACTTTATCTCCAGTGTTTGGTGCTTCATCCATTCTTCTGCTTCCCTGGCCCCTACAGAATAGCTGAAGGAGTGGGGTAAGGACTAGGGCATCGGGCAGTCTTGCCTATGGGATGCTCTTGGGTGAGCAGCTCACTGTCACCTTCTCCTCCTGCTGAAGAGATTGGAAAAGACATTGGCTGCCCAGAGCAAAAAGCTCAGAAGGGAGCTTGGTGGTGAGTGGTAGCCCAAGTGGGGAGGGCTCTGCACCTGGGGATGGTTAGAGTGCAAGATATACTGATTGTCTAAATGAAGTCTGCACAAGGTGCTTGAAGGACAAATGATCAGCTTGTAAACCACTGCAATCTGAGAGTTTGCTCCTTAATTCACTGAAAAGGAAAAAACCCCAAAGACTCCCCCACACCGAGAACGTAGGCACACTGACTTCTTGCTGAGAGAAAGAGAGCTGAACATTCTTAGAATACTAAGGTTTGACTTTTACAGAGCCTTTAAAACGTGGAAGCCACAAAAATGTTTCCATATCCAAGAGAACACTTTAAAATATTTTAACCCTTTCAAATGCAGTCTGCTTCTTTCCCCTTATATTGAATTAATCTTGACACATTGCTGTTTTCTTACCTAGAACACAATGAGAAAATGAAAAGCCAGTTATCTGGCAAGGAAGCCTGAGGAAGATGACAGTTCTGCATAGAATAATATGCCAAGTGGAAGCCAGAAACCTCAAATTTGTAGAAGTCATTCAACTTGCATGCAACCTCCTTGAAGTCTATGAGACTCAGAGGAGACTCATCCTATACAGGATGAACTTTTAATTCTGAGGTAGTTGCCCTTGAATCCCAGAAATAATATTTATTGTTCTCAGTGTTATCCAGAAATCCAGAAAACATTTCAGAGGAAAAGCAGAATTGGGAATGGTAGGTTACTACTCCAAAATAGCAATAGGTGGCTTACAGCTCTATATTTAGAACAGCAAGCATTGACAAGAGAAGCAACAGCATGCTATAAATTTAGCTAAATACTCTGAAATTTACCAACACATCAGGAAGGCTAGAGCTGAAAAGCTTGGAGAAACGGCCAATTTCAAAGTCCTCAAAATCAATAAGATTATCAAGTAAGAATATTTTTAAAGTAAGCATAGAAGAGTACATGTAGGAATAACTGAATGAATATGTGAATAATTTCTCAAGCTGCAATTGCTAAAACAAGGACTTTATAAAAGTAAAGTTGTAACAGATGAGAAAAAAATCCAATTTGAAGAAAAATCACTATCTAATGAAAAGCATAACCTATTGTTCAGAATGCAGAGGAAACAAGAGGTTCGAAAGTAAAGGGATAAAGATAAAGGCATTTCCGCTGACAACAAAAGTAGAATTTGAAAGGGGCCATTTACCCAACATGGCAAAATCAAGGAAGTCTTGAGACAAGGGTACTGATTCATCATAGCCTTATGCAATTATTTATACCTGTAAAAAGAAGTATAATACACTAACACCAAGAGGCAGTAGATCTTCACGTACCCTTTCCAGAATGGCATTAATTGTTTGATAGACTGGAATAAGATTTGTATGTTACATTTGGTGGTTCAGTCACAGCAAGCCACTTCTTCACTTCACTAGAAACATTTTTCATTTCTCACAGCTGAAAAGGTAGGAAAAAGTCAATCCCTTTGCAAGGGGTCCATTCAATTCTGCTGTGACACGATTGAAAAAAAAAAA